TGCTAAAATTCCAACCTGAGTAAAAGCTATCCCCTCTGGCCTTTGAAACCGTGATCTCTTATTTCTAGAGGCTGGGATCTGGCTGTTAAAATTTGTTAGTGGAATGGAGAGAGAGAGAGAGAGAGAGAGAGAAAAGCACTCTGTATATGCCCCAAGGCACCCTTCCATCTTTTTTTTTAATATTGCAGGACAGAGCCCTGTGTGTGTAAAAACAGACTGTGGGTCTAAATCCTTGTGACCTCTCACTCCACTTATACTCTAGTTAACTTTGGGCTAGAAGGTAAGAACTGAATAAAGCCAAGAACCCAGAAAAAAATGGTTCCGCCCCATTTTGCTCTGTGTGGGTCCTGTGAAAGTGTGCTAGAGACGGTCATTGCTCGAATCGGTGTGTATTTTGGAGATGTGCTATATATTTTTGAATTATACCATAGTGCTAAACTCCAAATAAACCTCACTTGAGGTTCCTCCCCCTTTGCTGCTGCTGGATTTATGGCCGCAGTTGCAAATTAAACCTACAGTGATTCCCCCCACCCGTTTTAATTCCCTGCTAAAATAAACTATATAAATTTAAGGGGAAAGAGGGAGGAGGGAAACGTCTCTATTACACAGGGAATAAAGGTAAAGACATGGGTATTGCTTGCCCCGATCTCAATTGACAGGAGGCATTTTGGTATTAAAACTAAAATAAAAAAACAGCCCCTCACTGACAAATTGACTGCAAAGGGTCTCGGGGGAAAAGTTGACTGAACCAATATTACCACGTGCCGTGTCAGTTTCTATCCTTCCTGCTATTTATTATTTAATAAACAGGCAATTGTTCCTGCTCGCCAAGTACAAATTGTGAGGGTGTCGAAATCTATTTTAAAGTCTCTCTTGGAAAAAAAGAGGTATATATACATTAACTCTTCCACCTCAACTTTCATCACCACACTCCTTGAAATCTAAGCTGCTACTTAAGGAAGGGAAGATCTTTATTCTTAGCCTGAAGGCTCATGCGGGGTGTGTGTGTGTGTGTGCCACTCATGAAGCATAAATCATGCCAAACATTACTAAGGTATCTGGATGCTTTACTGTATCGCTCGGTGTGTGTGTGTGTGTATGTGTGTGTGGTGGAAAGAGACACACTGTCAACTTGATACAATCTGCAATCATGTCAAGCTATGCCAGTTTTATAACACAGAGGCTGAACTCAGAATTTATTTTAGGTAGCCCTTTCGAGATCCAAATACTGCTAGTAATTAATTGATTTTGGGGAGACAGAACTGTGATGTTATCATTGAAATTGTTGAAGAGTTGTATGAAATTGACACTGTTCCAATTTTTAAAAAAGTGTCTGAGATCCATGAACGCAATGAATGGTGATTAGGATTTTGAACTCCCCTTAATATTTCTGTAGCAATTAAAAGCAGAGGGGGAACAACCCTCTTCCAGAACTTCTCTTCCAGAACCACAATAGATTCTTTTGGTCAGTTTTCTAAGGATGCTAACAAAAACTATTTTAGTTAGTATAATTTAATTGGGTAATGGGAACTACTGAAATAGATAATATTAGGCTTTCTGTTATAAAAGTGTTCAGAGTCAAGAAGTCCAAATCAGGCACAGATCCACTGAGTTCCACTGGATGCAATCCTGCCTGATGCTTTTATCATTGGGGCTGCTTCATGGGTTATGGAATCATTAAGAGGTTACCCTGCATGTTTGAAGGGGGGTGTACCCGTCTGACTGCGTCCATGTGGGTGTTACTAACTGTGTGTTAACAACTTCAAACCACATGGTGTACACTCTTCATAACGTGTGAAAGGGTGTCCTCGTTGCAATATGAAAGAGATGTGCAGTTAAACAAATTTAATATTTGCAAAATGTCCTTGTGAGGCATAGGGCAGAAGAAATTAATCCTTTTCGAGTTTGGTTGATCTGCAGTTTTGTACAGCAGGATTATCTTTGGCTCCTAACATACCCTTTTGACATAGAATGCTCTGTCTTTCTCTGTGTTGAATATATCATATAAATATACCATTTTAATTTCAGCATCTCCCAGAGCTTTTTGTTGGAACTCCCAGCTAACACATATCTATGTATATTGATTTGAGGAAAAGAGACGACAGATGCCTTCTCTTGAGATGTTGCTTTCATTAGTTCGGGTGGCTTGTCAAGAGATAACAGGGATGCATTTTAAATTTCAGATCAATGACTTATTTATCTTTAACAAATGGGAAGAGTAGAATATGAGACTCTAAATCATTCCATTTAACACCATATATTTGATAACTTGGTGCCCTAGGTGAAGAGTTAAAAAAAAGACTTTAAAAATATATAAAAGTTTTTTGGGGGGTAATATCTTACTTCCTGCTTCTGGAATCTGGGAAAGCTTATTCAATAAAATAAGGAATCGTTCTGTATGCTTTTCTAAAAAACAACAACAATAAGAGGTGAGTTTATTGAAAACTTTCCACCCATCTGCGGCTTCAGAATGGTTGCTGATAAAAATGTAAAAATAAAGCAGAGGTCATAGAAGCTTATTGGAAACTGGCAAAAGACAAAAAAAAAGGTTTTTGATGGACAGATACGTTTAGGGGTGTGTGTGTGTGTGTGTGTGTGTGTGTGTGTGTGTGTGTGTGTGTGTGAAGTCCTATACCATGCAAAAAATATTGAATGGTTGGACTGCTCTTGGTATTTTGTCAGCATTTTATAAATAACTTCTTTTTGAACTTGTAATCTTGACATGTATCTTAACTGCATCTTAACTGCAGTCTATTTGTTTATATGTTTTGACCTGTTGATATTTGTACATAAACCTTGATCATATGAATAGAAGGCAGTAAGGAATCCATTACAAAGTTTTTTAAGAGGTATGCATGTACATATAAATTATGGAGATTTGTGATCAGTGCTACTTTGCAAGTATATATTATTCTGGTATAGATGTATCTAGGCACTAATTCTATGTTTATATGTTTATATATACATTTATGACTGCAAATAAAATTAAATATAGAGTGTAAGGTACAACATAGGTTAAAACATTTCTTCCTGCAACATCTCCACATGATTTAATACAATATTGGCATAATGCACAAGAGAGAGAGAGAGAGAGATTTTAATGCAGAAGAAAATATGGGTGTCCTTATGATAATCATTTTACATGTACATATGCATCCAGTAAAAATAGTGATAGAATGCTATTCTTATATGGAATGCATATTGGGCAATCGTTACAATGCATTTATGTGTGTACATATATCTAGCATTTAGGCAAACAAACAGTTTTGTACTTTTTTAAGATACAGAGATGTATGGAGGTAATTTATAAAAATGATTAAATATACATGTATGCTGCAGTTAAATATAAACATATAGTTTGCGTAGCATGTATTTTATAGCTATAAGCTAATGTATGGTTTCTAAAGTGTTCTGTAATATTCTTAAAATGGAAAGAAGAAAATGATTTTACATCTTTGACTCTTAGGTAAGGCTCATAAGACCTGCTCATGCTGTTTTCAAGAATTAAATAAGCTCTGCTTCCTCTTCCATTACTGCCAATCCTATTAAACTTTAGAATCTTTAATAGCAAACTGTGTGTTTGTATGCTTGTTCTGACTGCCAGGTGGGATGTTTGTGTAAAGTTCTAATTTCTTCTTTTGCTGTACACAGACAAAGAGCATGTGTTTGGTTATACTACTTGAAGTAAAGTTTCACACTAGATTTTAAAAAAGCAATATTTTAAAAGGAATGTTCTCCCTACTCAGCTAGATTAAATATATGGATATATGGAAAACATGCACATTGTGATTTTCCTTTAAGGAATTATGAATAACCAAATACATTTTTCTCCCGAGATTGCCTATTGCTTTATCTTTTATATGACAAAAACTAAATGGAGAGAAGGAGTGGGCAGGTGAGATCCCAGTGCAGTTTCTAATTTAAGGCGATTTTAAAATTTGACTTACAGCCATCCAGGGCTGCCAATCCAGAGGGACTTTTTTTTAATGGCAGAGGGAATGTTAAATGAATCTCAGTGGAATACAGTGCTTCATATGCATTTTTCATTTGTCAAGCATAATCTTTATTTTCTTTTCTTCTCAAAGACAACCCTTATAATTACAATGAACAGCCTTTTAAAAAGATAGGGATATTTTTAGCATTACCTGGTTTCTCTGTGAAATAACCCAAGGAGAGCTTTGTAATAGTGATGCAGTTGTATAATCTTGGATTAATTGAAAGTCTCCTCTGGAAGCAGTAAGAGTACATTATTTGCAGCAATGAATGTAATTTCTTATTGATTTATTAGGTACCCTAAAGTTAGAGAAATTATAATCCCCCCCCTTCAACATTCCCTGGGGAGAAAAAAAACCCTCTTCTTTATGACAAATTAGTAACATAGAGTAAATCCTAAACAGGTCTACTCAGAATCCTACTCAGGTCTATTCAGTGGGGCTTACTACTAGGAAAAGTGTATTTAGGATTGCACAGCAACTCTCCAGAGCTGCAATGAACTGTGCTCCAAAGAGTTGATTGAGAAGTTTCTATTACTGAAGTAAATTTGAGCTTTCACTAAGTTTTGAGGAACTGTCAGTGCTACATGGGCAGAGGGTTGGAAGGATGTTTTAAATGAGTGGGTGGAGCCACTGAGGTCAGTTGGGAGGAGTCAGGACATTGAGGGGGAGGAACTAAAGAGTGGGTGTGGCTAGTAGCTGGAGGAGGTCAAAAGTTTGAAAAGGTAAGTGAAAGTAGGTTGCAGGTGAAATGGGGCACCCTAATTAGAGGGGCTATAGGTGGAGTGGTAATAGTATGTAGATGAAATGGGTGGAGCAACCATTTTGTTTGCTAGTGAAATGGGGAGGATACAATAAACTTTGTTTGTATGGTGGGTGGGAGGAGTCAGAACATGGTTTCTGAGTAGAGAGGAAGGGGTGCCACGTGGTGGCAAAAGGAAAGAGGAGCAAAGGGTGACTCTGGGTGGGAAAGGGTGCAGGCTTACAAAGTAAGGGGCATCTCCTTACCTGCCCATTCTTCATCAGGTCTGCCCACATGCTGCTGCCATCGCCCCCGCGCATGAGCACGTGGTAGGTGAAGAAGTAGATGCCAGGTAGAGGGCAAGTAAACTTGCCACTTAGTGGTTCGTAGTAGTTTCCCACATTGGTCACCACATCATCAAAGCGCAGGATTTCATACCCTTCGTGTGGCTTCCGCAGTCCTGCATAAAAGGC